CCAATGACCCGTTCCACCCCGTTCCTTCCCCCTCCCCAGTCCCTCTCCCCACCATTGTCCGTGTCCTTGAGTTGTGCATATATGCGTATAAATTCTTTGGTTACTCTCTCCCCCTCCACCCACCAGCCCTCCTCCCTCCCTCTGACATTCGTCAGTCTCATCTATGCTTCCATGTCATTGCTTTTTGTGTTCACACTGATGCAGTCAACTCAGTGAGAAGGTATTGATTTTCATGACTCACCCTCCAACAATTAGAACCCAGATAATCCTATCTTTTTCCAAAGAGGAATTAAGGGGCAGAAGAATGCTAACTCAGAAAGCAAATGGGGTACAGACATTCTGTCTATGAAAAGTTGTAAGCAGCTCAGGAGAGAAGACTGATCCAGAAACACCGTTTGGCTTTAAAGGTCAATTGGTTTAAAACCAAGGCAAAAGTGAAATTATCTGATACAGATATTCACAAAGGCATCTGGGATGATTCATATTTATGAAGAATCACAAGCTGGGACCCTTCAGCCATGAAATAGAATCTTTGCCTGCTTCATGAAGATTGTCAGAAAGTAGCATTTTTTTTTGCAATAAAGTGTTCATTAAGCTGAAGTATGACCAACATGGAGTGTGGCATCAATCTTCCTAATCAGATGCTATATCTTCCTGAAGCCTGCAGGTCACCCTCTCGCCTGCCCTTATGTCTCCTGTGTCCAGTTAACCATTTTGGTTTCTCAATATTCTTGTTCTTAAGGCTTGTTTCTGCTAATCAATTGAAAGCATGATGATCATGATGATGATGATGATGATAGTAACAATAAGTTTAGGTTGTTGAGTACTTACTGTATCCCAGGCTAATAAAAAGTAGAAAGTGTTTAATCCTATTTCAACAATATGATAAATGAAGTATTACCATCATTATATTATAAATAAAGAATTATTATTTTATAAATGAGGTCTATTATTCTATAAATCAGAAAATTAAAGATTATAGAGGTTAACACATTTGTCCAAAGTCATATAACCAGTAAGAGTCAAAATCAGGATTCAACCCAGTACTGTGAGATTCTAAAGGCACAGACACTTCACCTATTATGTCAAAACAAAGCATCCAGAGTTTTTCTGAAAATATGTGGGAAGCTGCAACGTTATTATGAAATGGGTAAGAAAATATCAAAATTTCAAAGTAGTCATCCCAAGAAACATGCTGACAGAAAAAACCCCACAGTAACAACTCCCCCAAATGGTGACTCTTAACGAAAATATTGTTATTTATAGACTTCAACACTACTGCAAAATTATTATTTTTTTCCATTGCTTTTCAGAGAGAGTGACGGGGGGGGGGAGAGAGAGAGAGAGAGAGAAACATCGGTGCAAGAGAGACACATTGATTGGTTGCCTCCCACATTCCCCCAGACCTGGGTGGGGAACCTGCAACTCAGGTAAGCGCCCTTGACTGGGAATCAAACTCAGGACCCTCTGTCTGAGGGCCCAGGCTCTACCCACTGAGCCAAACTGGCCAAAGCTACCCAGGGCTTCTCGAGTAAACAAAATATCCAGGACAGGATTTCTTCACCTGAGAAAGGTGCTTCATTGTTCAGTTGCCTTTTGCTAGGAGGTTAGTTTATGAGAAGGGAAGTCCCGTGAACTTATATCAGACTTTGTTTGGACTTCCTGATGACCAGATTCCTCTCGGTCCCTGTTAAGTCAGATGTGTGTGTCTGTACAAAAGACCACACATTGATACTAAATCCCCTCCTAAGCTCTGCCTTTGTTTTAGATCAGCGCCCTCAGGGCAGTACAACCCGAACAATGTTACTTTTCTTTTTTGCCCCATCTGCTCCATCTGCAAATNTGACTGGTTGGTACGTGCCCTTGACCAGAAATCGAACCTGTGACCCTTTGATGCCTGGGCTGACTCTCTAACCACTGAGCCATAACAGCCAGGGATCTACTGCAAAGTCATTTAAAAATAGTATCTATCACCAGAAACTTGACTCTGTACAATGATTCACAGTGAATATGCATAATTACCTAGCTGTGTATACTTCTAACTTAAAAAAAGAAAGAAATGCCTTTAAGTGACTCACCAAATTCCCCACAGCAAGCACGTTTCCGAATTCTACAGTCATTGGGTGATGCTCCATCGCCATGAAGAGCGTGTTTAAAATGATGCAAATGGTAATAGTAAGATCTACAAAAGGATCCATTACAATAACATAAATAAGCTTTTTAAATTTTATCCAAAGTGGGGAGCAATTCCAGATCAGGAAGGTGTGTGCAAATCTGTACCACCAAGGTGGACACTTCTGTCTGGACTCTTCCAGTTCTGGGAGGAGAAAAAATCCAGAAAACATGAAGTCAATCATTTGAATGTTTTATTCCTAAGCAGTTACCCATCAGCAGCGCTCTTTCCCACTGAAACAAGTCTTCTGCGTCAGACTTTTCAAATTTAACAGTACTGTTTCCATGAAATCATAGCATTATTACACAAAAAGGTAATATTACATAGCATTATTACATAAAAGGGTAATAATATTAACATGTAATAACCCTACCACATGTTCACTTGCTAGATCCTAAGTGAGGGGAAGGTAGTGAAATTAGTGACTGAAAGCAGATACAGCATCTCTCAAAGAAACATGTACCTAACATGTGATGGAAAACAAGACAACCTATGTTTTCTTAAGGGAGAAATGTATATTTTCCACCAATGTACACACTTCCCCCGTCTCCTTAGTCCCATGACAACAATAAGACAATTCTACTCTATCCAGGAAAACTCTTGCCAGTTCACAGCTGAAAACAATTCCAGAACAAGGAGACTAGAAATAACTTATGGAGTGACTCATACAAGTGATATTTCATTCCATTAGCTTATTTGCTTCGCACCATAAATTTAGGAGTTGCGAGGAAACTTTGGTGAGGTGGTAGCCTTTGGACAAGACAGGAACTAGAGCATATTTTGGGGGGAGAGAATGGGAGCCAGCACATTATAAAAGTAGTCACTCTTTGACTCCCTTCTCAGTGCTTATGAGGGTCTAACCACTATTACTGACATTACATTTTCAAACCTGCTTTCTCTAATGCCTTTTCATCATAATTTTAACAGATGTCATGTCACATGTTAACATTTTACAAGTTTATAGAATGTGCTCCGGCAGTAATTTATCTACATCTGGAAGTATGTATTATTTCCTTACATATTAGAGAGATAATAAATTCAGAGATAGTTTCTAAGTTTACATAGTGGAAGAACCATACAGCCCTGGGTTAACCTAGGTTCTTCATTAATTACCACTAAGCTATTTATCTTTGAAAAGTTGTATCATTCAATACCTATCTTTAATCACAATTTCATCCATTTTAAACACATAAAGATGATTCCATTAGTGTCCATTGGTTATCTTTACCATTGCTTATAACCATTCTAAATTCTTCCTAAGAACTTCATGTACTGACCAGGATTTATCTGAATTTCATCTAAAAAGTCTGTTTAGTAAAAAGAATAGTATTACCTTCTACAGTGTTTGTCAGTATGCTTGCTCTACTCATTGCTCTTTGTCTGAGATGGGGGTCATTCAACATATCTTCAGAAAGGAGATAAGAACTGGAACGTCGCTTTTTGTGTATTTGACTGGTTGTACCCTAAAAAATATGATCATTTAAAGTTTAAAAATATAATTCTAATAAATTACACACATAAAATTTTGCTTAGGTAGCTGTAATGAGTAATTAAATGTAGAGAGGAGATTGCTGCATTCAAATCATGGCGCTGCTACACTGGCTGTATCATAGGAGAGTTACTTGACCTCTTTCTGTCTCATTTTTATCATTAGTAAAATGGAGATATTCACAGTACTTGCCTTATATGCTTGCTATGAGGAGTAATTAATATTTAGAATTAATATTTAGTTAATAAAAAATTAAACTGAGCTGCTTTTATTGTTATAATCACTATCATCATCTCTCTATCTTTCTGGGTCTCCAACGTATTCAGGTAGTTTTACCATGTAAGAGTCTTATATGAAAACAGCTAAACAAGCGTTCTTGGAGTGTGTGTGTAAAGGGGTAGAGTCTCAGTGTTCTCTGACAAATTTCTTTAATTAGTCTTTGTTGAGGTAACAGCATTAATGGAGGAGACTATAATGATTGCTTCTTATTGTCAAGGTAGAGCTCATCAACCGATCTGAGTATATGATGATAAATGACTCAGCTTGAAAAGGACAATTAAGAGTGACGGGAGCTGTAGCAAAATAGAGAATGTAAGCTCCATCTAAAAGGGGTGACCACTGTTTAGTTGAAAGGATTGCTGCCATGCAAGAATATGAGCTCGGTTTTACCAGGTATACTCATTTTTATGTGAAATACCTTATTTCTAAATTATGGAAACTCATTCAAAGTTAAAACACTATGCCGGTTCAGAGCAGGTCAACAATAGGCACACAAACACACATGCTCACACACATACTTATATACATACAAACAACTATACAACTCTACATTTATCATTGGTCTATCCATTTATCAATCTAAATGCTTGTGTGTTATGTATATATGTGTATGTACACACATACACACCACTGACAAACATATATGTATAGTTCTAGAAATGCAAATTTGTATAGTTGTTTAGATATATATGTATATATATATCAAAACATAGACACACAGGCATAAATATGCCCATATGTGTATGTATGTATGTATGTATGTATGCAAGTATGTGCATGTTCACAGACATATACATATCTACAGGTAGCTTTGTTTGTTTGTTTGCTTTTTAATCCTCTCCCGAGGATATTTTTTCCATGGCTTTTCAGAGAGAGAGGAAGGAAGAGAGCGAGAGAGGGCCTCGCTCACAAGCCCCCACTGGGGTTGGAGATTGAGCCTGCAACTGAGGTACGTGCCTTGGCCTGAATCGAACCCGGGACCCTTCAGTCCATGGGCCGATGCTCTAAACCGGCTGAGCTAAACTGGCTAGGGCTACTTGTAGCTTGTTATAGAGATCTCTCTATAACTATGTTTTCCCTCATACAGTCTCTACCTTCTGACTTTCCAGAAGCAGAGACTTCTTTTTCCCCAAGTCAAGAAAAGAATTTGTTTAATCAACAATTCAAATAAAATGAAAACATTTCACTTAAAAATGTGAAATAATCTTCAAATTTGATATAAATGATATAATTATTTACAGATACTACACACTGAAAAGCAAAACTCAACAAAGATCCGATTCCACAGAAATTTGACATGCTCATCTGAAAAGGAAAAGTGCCTTCCAGAGGGCTGGAGCGGTATCATGCAACAGAGAGGTCACCTGTCACCTAGAAGCACATGCATTCATTCAAACTGAAAAATGTGTGGCCATGGCTTTGATGGAACTTTATTCTCACTTGAAATGCTACATTGTCTGCAAATATGAATATATGAATAAGTAGTATGAGTTCCAAGCTTGTTAGGTTAGTCAAAGACCTTGCTAATATTTAGTAAGGCAATATAACACAGTCAGTGGCCTGAAGCAGTAACCTGGAAGCTCCAGAAACTAGAAAGATCCCACGTTCAAACCTAATCAATTCCTGTAACCACTCAATGACTCCTAAATGCTTGAAATTGTGGCTTTTCTTTTCTTTTTATGTGTGTGTTTATATTAAGGTGTGTTCTGATGTTATGTTTTTATTATAGACTCCCAACCAAAGAGTATTTTTAAAATTGAAAACAGTAAATTTCATTTATGTATGGGAAAAAAGCATAGCCATTCTAAATTATTTACATGTTTTGAAGCCTACCACACATTACACAGAATGCAAAGTATGGTGGTTCAGAGCACAAGCTCTGAAACAGAGGGTCTGTTTGAACTTTAGGACTAGCAGTTATTAGCTTCATTCCTCTGTGCCTCAGTTTCTCCCTTGTCAAATAGGGACAATAACATATCACCTCATAAGGCTGTTGTGAATACTAAGCAGAGGTTTGCTATTATTATTGTTATTATTAACAACTCAAATAAGATCCCTTGCAAGAAGGAATAATATATATTAAGCAGTAACTTGAAAAAGATAGCAAATTTCCTTACAAAAATGATATCTATTATCAACTAATAAGATCAGTATTATCATTGCATTTTCTGTGCTGATATATATCTTTTATAAATCGTTTTATAAAGGGATGATTTATGATTTTCAAGTATAATAACAATAGATAAGTATCTTTTTCAAAAATGGGATTTTATATTCAATCATTATGTTGCACACCTGAAACTAATGTTATATATCAATTATACCTCAATTTTAAAAAATAGGGTTTTAAGTGTCTTTGAATTATATGCCTATAGCACATAGTAAAAGGATCAAGTTAATGAGTTAAAGGTGTGTTTCTACAGAGTATTGCAAAATGCAGAGCCATTCACAGGACCAGAGAAGGCCCCTCCAGCGGAAAAGACTGACTGATGCAAGAACAAGGGTCGAACCATGCCTGAGCTATTTAAAACGTCCTTACGCTGTCATCAGAAGTTGCCTTATCTATTATCACCTCTGGCAGAAGCTGTCCATTGGGAAGCATGAGGGCTGAGGTTCCGTCAACCAGGGAGACCACACCATTGCAGTCCACGGCACTGTTCATCTTCCCGTTCACCGGCAGCACTGGGGGGGACCTACTGGCTTGACTGATGTTGCTGCTGCGCCGCTCCCGAGGCCTGTGGGGCATGCACAACGAGCCCCTTCTGCTCTCATTGTCTCCGAAAATGCTGTGCTCGTCGTCGGCAAATTCAGTCTCAGATCCAATATCTTTTCCTCGACCCATGAAACTAAAAAGACTTGTTCTGCTGCTGCGCCTTTGAGGAAACAGGGAGCCACGATTGCTGAGTGGCGACTGCAGAAAAAAGAAAAGATGACACGTATCTGCTGAAGCACCTAAAAACAGAAGTGCATTTCACACAATTACCATAGAAACCATTGACCTGAGGGCAGGTGGCTCAACACAGGTTTAAAAGAAACACATTTCAAAACAAAGCAATTTAGCAAGAAGGCAAATTCTTCCAACTAAGAAAGAGAAAGGCTGAAAAACCCATCCTTTCATACCAGGTAAATAATTTGCTGCTGCACAGCTCTCTACTCTTCTGGCCTGGAGTGACCTCTCCATTCTTTCTGTGCCATTCATTTTGTTATAAAGGACATATCACTTCAAAAATGGTATTGCAACCTGTTAGATTTTCTTCTACCAATCCTAAAGTTCCATAGGTATTGAACTCTCTTGATTTATTTCCATGCTGTATGCTCTTTGCATTCCATTGCTTAGAACTCTACCTTACATATTGACAGCTCAGTTAAGGTGTCTTAAGAAAGACCTTTTAACACTACTAAGTTTACAAAGTCATAAAGTATTAGAACTTGGAAAAGAAGTTGTCCAATAACAAGGAGGGGAAAAGTCACATTTCCATAATTCATATCCAGGATAAACTGTGTCTATAAACCAAACTGAATGCATATTCTTTGGAAGTATCTAATTCAATAAAAGTCAGTGCTTACTGTATGGAAAGGACAGTGGCAGGCATCCTGAGTAATGGAAAATGTGTATAACAAGGTCTTTGCCTTGAAACTAGCTTGGGGGACTGTTCCTGTCATATTTCTTTTTATTGATATTGCATGTATTCATGTTCTGCCTCCCCAAGTAAAGTATGAAGTCTTTGAAGGCAGGGATTATATCTTTTATTTCTATGCATACCTGACAGGGTCTTGCAGACTTACATCTTAGAAGCTAGCAAAGTTAAATGAGGACACAGATGAGAAGAATAGTAATTGTGAGTGGGGCATTGAAAAGCTAATGGGTGAAGAACAGGTGGTGCTATGCCAGAAGGAAAACAAGGAACAAAATTATCCCACTTATAGAAAACCAGGTGAGCTAAGTGACAAAGGCATAAAAGCACAGGGCATGTAGGTGAGAGCGGAGAATCACGGTGGACTAAGTACCTGAGGGTACAGAAATGTAGAGTGAGGCTGAATAACGTGTGGGTCTTGTTCTCTAGGCAGTAGTTATTCAACAGAGTTTTTTCTTTATTTGATTTGAGCAGAGGGACAGCTCTGATTTAGAAAAATTATTTGGAGGGGCTGTGCCATGGAAAATAAAAATGTCAAGGAAAACAGGTTTGTAGGCAGAGACCTGAAAAGAGAAGATACTACTCTAAGGTTAGTTTTTAACCAATATGTGCATTACAAAACATAGACGAAATAAAAATATAAAAGTTAATCTGTAGTGTAAATATTTTTTTCATTTCTACAATGGTTCTCATGAATACTTTGTTTTGAAAATGTGTTCATTGGAGAAGATATGACAATTCCAAAACTATAAACTGCTTACACATTTAAATGGAAAACTACATATATCCATAGGCCCAGCAATCAATAGGTTTTACCTATAAATGCCCAGCAATCAATAGGTTTTTACCTAAAAACATACCAAGAGGATCACTCACTCTGCTCTCCTGAGGTCCCTTTCCTCAGAATAGAACATTTAACCCTCCGTCTGGTGACACGCCTTTGATAGTGTCAGTGGTACCTGATTCGGGGTCGACAATCTCTTTTCCCGTGTGCGCCTGTGGCCTTCAACACCGAGGAGGGAACTTCTCCTGATACTCTCCTCTGATTCCGACTTGGACAATTTCCCATCGTCTCCCTTTTCTTCCCCACCAGACAGTTTCTTTTGATTCTTTTTCTTCCTTCTGTTTCTCCTTTCTTTGGCACTTTTAGAGCTCAGTTTAGATGTTTCAGAAGAACTCTCGGAGAGGCCCACGATCCGGCTTCTCCTCCTGCTTGAATATTCGGCTGCTGCCATCGCTATTGCCTGTTGGGCCCAGATGTCACACATGCAGTGAGTCATTTCTGAAATCGAGGAAACCTGGTGACAGGACAGCTCTTTAACATGAATTTAATTATATTGTGCATCTAATCATACCCCTTGTGTGGGAACAAAAGTCGTTTTCTTTACACTATGACCAGAGAACTTAAAAAATGTGTATTTATTGCTTCTCCTGCACTGTAACAAAGGGCCGTTCTGCTCTGGAATTAACTATTACATACTATTCCTATATTTATAGTAAAGCAATTTTAAACAGTACATGTGCAAGTTTTACTAGGTAATTTCTGGGACATAAAGCATGAACCATGGGATAAGATAATTTGCATATCTTGTTCAGATAATTAACTCAATATTAGCAAAATAATCAGGCACTTTATACTTTAGTGAAGGATAAGTTGTCTGAAAATTAAAATTAATTATTACAGAATAATATCCCAAGAAAATGTGAGAGATTTCTAGAGGTTCCCTAGGAAATTCCTTGGATAAACTAATGCTACTGACCTCTTTACAAAAAAACTATTCTTGTAAAAACTTGGAAAATAACTATATTGTGAATAAAAAATAAAAATCACTCATAATCTTACCTTCCCAAAATAATTGTTATTACTATTTCTTCTAGTCTTCATATATTTAATTTTTAAATTGTTATAGCAACAACTTTTCCTGTCATGATATTCTTAAAACACATAATTTTATGGTCCACAAATACTCCAACACAAAAACATCATAATGCTTTTAACCATTTTTAAATTTTTGAAAATTTAAATGATTTCTGATATTTACTTTTATTAAAATACTGCACTGAACATCTTTCTGCATCAAAGTTTATCTGCCTTCTAAGTTACTACCCTCTCCACGACACATTAGATTCCTTGAAGAGATTTAAATAGGTCAACCCATCAAATATTTGAAATTTTGGTTTTTTAGTACAAACCTTCCCAAACTTTCCCACTAAAGTACCCCTTTGCAGAGAGGATTAAGGAAAAGTCCTCAAAAATTTGTGACTTAGCCCGAAATGGCCACAACCATAAGTATAATTTTTTAACATTTTACATTTTTATCTTAAAAATCCTTACAACATTAACAAAAACTGGCACACATTTTGCTTTCTACCCCATAGAGTATCTGTTAACTTTAACATTAAAATAATTTCCCTTAAACCTTTGTGTACAGTTGTTCTGGGGAAATACATCATGTTTTAGGACTTTGCAAATGCCACAGACACTGAGGAATCACAGGTAACAGGTGCAGGAGGAATAGCTTAGAACATTCTTTGTGGCAGAGTGAGCTATCGTGGGGGGAAGTGGACTGGGTCAGATGCCAATTATAACTCAATCCAGAATTGGTTCCTTCGACCACACCAGAATGAAGATTCAGTTTATATAAAGGAATCCATTAAGGAAAACCACCCTGGGGAAGCCTGAGCATCGACTATTCAGCCTTTGCACTTCTACTTCTAGGAAGAATTTTAAACCAAATAACAATACCTCAGCTTCTTCTTGCTCCTTTTTAAGTCGATCTAACATCTGTTGAAATTCTAACTCTTTCTGCCTCGCTTCTTCGATGTTTGCCTGGTTCTGTTCTTCATAGGCCATGGCAACCACAGCCAGGATCAAATTTATTAGATAAAAGGAGCCCAGGAAAATCACCACAACAAAGAAGATCATGTAGGTTTTCCCAGCAGCACGCAGTGTCTAAGGGGAAATGTTATTTTGTTACTTTAATAACAAAAAGGCTTTTTTTGTAAATTATTTCAACTTGAATGGCATATTAGGCATGGGTAAATTGCGCAATTCTACATAATCTCATGTTATCAAAATATAAAGGGATAAAATATCTTCATGGAAAACAATCAGTATGAAAATACATACTTTTTCAGTATAAAGTATATAGCAATCTATTAAACTGGTACAAAAGTTATGTATAATTCCTGATTATTATCAAATAGAATAATCCTGAAATACTTCCCCCCAGTCTAAAAATTACTCAAAAACCAGCTGCTTTGCTCAGTTTCAAATTACAGGACCAGATAAAAAGTCATTTGTATTTTTTTCCTGTATATTTTTTTATCCTTTCTATATTCATTTATAATATTTTTAGAAATTAAATAAACATAAAACAGGCCAAAAGAAGAATCTGTGGCAAGTTGAGAAAAGGGATTGGTTATTATTCATAATACAGAATAATCATTTTTGGTCTCCTTGCTCATGGGGAAAAGGCAGATCCCACAGGACCAAGTGGATCACACTGAAGTGAGCAGAGATGGCCATGTGAATTAACAATTACAGTACAAGAGGTGGATGCTATAAACTGAAGAATATTCAAAGGGCATGGAAGTCTAGAGTAAGGAGCAATTGAATCGAGAGGAGAATTCAGAGAAGTGAATTGTGTCCTTAACTCTTGTATTAATTTGTATTAATTTGCTAAGGCTGCCTTAACAGACCAGGTGGCTTAACCAACAGAAATGCATTTCTCACAGTCTGAAGGCTGGAAGTTCAATATGAAAGTGTTGGCAGGTATGGTTTCTCCTGAGGCCTCTCTCCTTGGCTTGTAGATGGCCACCTTCTCAGTGAGTTCTCACATCGCATTTTCTCTGTGTGTATGTATCTTTGGTGTCTCTCTCCTCATGTCTTAATCTACTTTTCTCATAAAAAATCCAGTCAGATTGGATTAGGACCCACCCTAACAGACTAATTTTAACTCAGTTACCTCTTTAAAGGCTCCAAACATAGTCATTCTAAGGTACTAGGAGTTAGGACTTCAACATATGAATTTGGGGGCATACAATTCAGTCCACAGCAATTGTACATGAGAGTTCAAAAAATAAAGCAGTGTGAGTATAGGACAGCCTGATTTTTAGGGCACTTCAAACAGAAAAGCATGTGTGGAAAGCACAGTTTGTTTAAGAGAGGTATGAGAGAATATTACAGTATATTTCTTGCTCTTTACTTAGGGCACTACGGGATGCTACATTTACAAAGGCAGGGGGTGAGATTTAGAGATCAAATAAGTCCAGGAAAGATAAGAAAATAATTTGTGATTCAAGAACTATTCATTCTAATAGTGCTGGAAGCAGAAAATGTTTAATTTTATTAACTAGACAACAGAGTTTTCTCCACTCTAAATGGAATAAAACATCTCATATTTAAAGCAGGTAAGAAACATACATCAGATTATGCAATGAATGCAATGAATGTTTCTCTTGGCACTCACCTGTTGGTAAAGGTTTTCCCAGTAATCCTGGGTCATTAGCCTAAATAAGGCTAAGAAGGCCCAACCGAAAGTGTCAAAGCTCGTGTATCCATAATCTGGGTTTCTGCCTGCTTTCACACAGGTGTACCCTTCTGGACACTGACTACATGAGAAAAAAAATAACACAAGTCAGAGTGTCTTTGGATGCAAGCTAAACAGTCCTATAGAAAAGTGGGAAACTCAAGGTTCCTTTTCTAAGGGGACAATATGGAATAATCATGAAGAACACATTATTTGGAGTTAGGAAGAACTGGGTTTGAATCCCACTCTTACTATGTATTGGTTGGTAACTTTGTAAAATTACTTAAATTTTCCAAGGCCCAGTGGCCCTTTTCTGTGAAAACAAGATAATAACACCTATCTCAAAAGTTAAGATTGTTATTAAGTTTAAAGGAGATAATGTATGCAAATTACCTAGCCTAGTTCCTACACATAGAAAGTATTTAATAAATAGTAGCTGCTAGTATCATCATCATCATCATCGTTACCATCAACACTTGGAAACTTACACCAGATGTCATATAATAGTTCTTGTATCCATAAAGATTGATATTGACCTCTAACAAAACTGTGTTTCCCCTTAAATTACTCTTATAATGAATCAGAATCAAGAATAGTCAAAGCATAGCAATTCTGTAAGATTTGTAGCCTTCAGACTTTTTTTTTTTTCTAAAATTGGTGGGTTGGTATGTAGGATGCCAGATAAACACAGTGTTCTGAGGAGTCTCTGGGAGCAGCAACCTCATTCTTATTTTTATGTTCCCAGTGCACACAAGCCTGCTGAAGAGCTATCTGGGCAGGAGGGGAGCAAGAACAGAACCCTGCAGCAGAGATGAAGTTGATGTTTAGGAGAAACAGCAAGATGGATATTTGCATTAATATGAGATTCATAAAATATCTTGACCCAAGTCCATGGGGCCCTTTTTTTCAGAGTGGCCAAATGTCACTGCATTAAGTCACCTACGAGTCAGGCTTGATTGGAGAATGAGGGGAATTTGAGGATGGAAAGAAAGTTTGATTTTCATCACCCTTCTTTCCAGAAAGAAGAAAAACAGGAAAGTAACCAACCGATTTTTGGTGAGGTTTTCTGGAACTAATTTTTTCTACTGTTTTAAGGTTTACAGGATGTACATCTTTTTATTTAAGACCACCTCCAAGTCTTACTTTCAAAGGTGTGCAGTAACTATGAACGTTATCAAGTCTGAACACTAGGGGACAGGAGGAGTCAGATAATGCCGTGAAATCTATAAAAACAATACAGAACCAAAGGTTCTTACCAGCAAATGAATCAAGTATGTTTCCCCCCCTTTTTTTAGCCTTTATACACTAAAAACAAATACTACGTACCCTGAGTCTGTACTGTTACCACACAGGAGAGCATCTTTAGATCCCTCCAAGAAATAAAAATATTCTGTGTAGGAAGAAATTGAACAATATAAGGTTATGGAGTATAAGCTGCAACAGGTAAATTAATTAATATAGACATTCACACACATTTAGGCAATATGCATTTATTTATTTATCTATCTATTTATTGATTGATTCTATTTTCCTTCAAATATTTATTGATAACCTCTTATGGGGCAGGCGATGCATATGATGATAAACACGATAAGAACATTAGTTTTAAAAAGCTTTCTTTATGTTTAGCTAAGGGTGGAGTTTAGAGGAGAAAGACACATAACAAGTACATAAATAAATATACAAGGTATTTTCAGACAGTGATAAGTGCCCTAAAAGGAAGAAATTAACACAGTATGATAAAATGTGGTCAGGGAAGGCCTTTCTAAAGAGATGACATTTGCACAGGGACCTAAATGCTACAAAGAAGCTAGCCATTCAGACCCTGGTGAAAAGAGAACCTTGGCAAGGTAAAGAGCAAAGGCCCCGAGGCCAAAATGAAGTTGGTGTATGGAAGAAACAGCGAGACGGCTGGCCAGCCTGGCCACAGCGCTGCGAGTGGGGAGAACTGCGGTGGCGGAGGCAGGCAGGGCCAGGCCGCGTAAAGCTTTGCAAATCATGGAAAGGAGTTTGGATTTTAAATATGATTAGAAGTAACAGAAGTGGAAAGTAGAGATATGAAACAATACTGTACTTAGTGTTTTAAACTGTCACTGTGGCTGCTTTGTAGACCATGGACTGTAGGAAAGAAAGTGTGGAACAGGAATACCAGTTAAGTGACTGCAGAGCGAGGTGTCATGGCTGGAATTCAGAGAGCGACGTGGACATGGAGAGAAGGGGACGGACACAGAGCGGGCAGGCTTTGCTGGAGCGTGCCTGGCGTGTGCAGGGGAGGATGTATGAGCTGGTAACGATGGTGCCACTTACTGAGAGGAGGAAGACTGGAATAAGAAGTGGCCTGAAGAAAAACCTGGAGCTTTGCTTTAGCTGTTCTTAGCTTGAGATGATTATCAGGTATGAAACTACGTCTGTTAAGTAGGTAATTGGATTGATATGAGTCTTGAGGTCAGTAGAGCTCAAGTCATCATCAAGTAGGAGAGTTGATGGGACTTGATGAGTTAACCCAGAGAGAAAGTGCAGCTAAGGAAGACAAGGGTAAGGAGGGGGAGGGAGGGAAGGAAGGGAAGAGAGGGAAGGGTGTTCCCTACTGACCCCCAAAGCTCTCCAAGAGAGGTGGACTCAGCACTATAAATAAACAAAATTTGTTTTCTGAAATTCTCTAATGAGGGGGCTGATCCAACTGTGTATAATTAAGGTATAAAGGACTAAAAAAATTAATTAAAAAAAAATAAGGGCCCAACTTCCTATTTGGCTCAAGTCAAAGGAATAAAGATGTAATTATTAGGAGGCTTTTGGAGTAAAAGTGGAAGAAAGATTTTGAAATCAGATATAATTGGATTCGAATGATGTTTCTCCCCCTTCCTATCTAAGTGAACTATCTTACCACTTGAAGGTTTAGTTACTGCCTCTGTAAAGGGCGGGTAAGAGTGCCTACTTTGTGGAGCTGTGGTAAAGTATAAGAAGAACATTGCATGTAAAGCACTTTGCACAGTGATCCACACATTCTATACAGCTGCCCAAAGAGCAGGGGCTCTTTTTATTAAACTATCAAACAATTTCAGGTAAGACTGGCTGACTTACACATCATCATTTTGTTTTACATAGAATAAACAAATTTTAGAAGGCACAAATAAAAATAATAAAGAATCTTAGTTTGAGGTGAATATTTAGGTGAACAACCTTTTTTTTAAATCCTGTGCCTCGGGGAGGGTAGGCGCGGCAGACTAAGAATGGAGGAGGTTAAGATGCACTTTTAAATATATAAACCTCCAAACTGTGATTATGAAAGGATTACTTTAGAATTATCCTTTAAAGTAACACTGGTTCATGGCTACCAATCATGGAAGGGCTGCTTTAGAAGAAGGGGCTCCCGAGCTGCAGGTACCAGCATGCTGCAGGGCGAACACACTCTATTCAGTACAAGAAGGGTGACCAGGAAAGCAATGGGAGCAGCTCACCCTGGTCTTGCGGACACTTTAAATAATTCCTAAATAACTAGACTTAAATTGTTAGGCTAGTTAGCCTCAAGAGAATTTAAGGTTAGCATGTAAACGGAATATGTAATGCAAAGAGAAAAGAAAATTTATGTCCACAGTAAGACTTGTACATGAATGTTCATAGCAGCGTGCTTTACAAAGCTAAATCTGGAACAACCCAGCTGCCCATCACATAATGAATGAATAAACAAAATGTATACACATACAATGGAATACAATTTGCAATAGAAAGGAATGAATTACTGCTGCATGCTACATGCATGAAACTTGAAAACATACTAAATGAAAGAAGCCAGTCGCAAAAGACCACATGCTGTCTGATTTCATTTATATGAAATACTCAGAATAGGTAAATGCATAGACACAGAAAGTAGGTTAGTGGTCGTCAGGGGCTGGGGGAGGAGGGAAAATGAGGGTTGACTGTCAACCAAGGTTTCTCTTGAGGGAGATGAAAATATTCTAAAATTAGAGAGTGATAGTGGTTGTATAACTCGGAATATACTAAAAAACACTGAACTGTGCACTTTAAGAGGGGGAATTTTATGGCATGTGAATTATTTCTCAATAAACCTGTTAAGTAAATGTAATGTAGCGTAATGGCACCTTTGCAGAGCTTATATTCTAGTGGGAATGGAAGATTAAAAGTAGGGGAATAGACAAATAGACAAGAATGATTGCAAGTTTTAATAAATTTTATGCAAAGAAAATAAATCTGAGATACCAATGAAAGGGCAAGACTTTTCTGAGGAAGTGGCATTTAGGAGGAAATCTAAGTGACAATAAGAAGCATAAAATAGTGTAAATATGTATGAATGGGGGCTGCTGCTTGAGTTAGGAGGAATAGCATGTGGAAAGGTTATTATTTTCATTGCTATAGCTCCAAGGGAACACTTAATAAACATGTGCTGATAAATGAATACCTGAAAAAATATTACAATAAGACCTGGTTTCTATGACACAAAAACAGGTAGGAAACCAAAGTCAAACTTGACACAAACATCTCCTCTCTAAATATGTATTTCAGAAGAAAAATCAAGAATAATGTATAGAATTGAGGGAAAGGATTATGGAATAAAATTTCACTGTTAGCTAAGCTGCCATTCACTCATGTGTCAAGCCAACATGAAGACATATTGCAAAATTCAAGAACTCTTTCTCTATTTTGGGGAGAAAAATTGCTTGAGGCCATTCCAGATGCTTAAAAAAAAATCATTCAAATTCCAAACTCAGTAATGGAACCAAGAATCAGAATAAAAGGACTAGCAGTAATCCTAGTAAAAAAAAGGAAGTTTAAGTAAAAGTTGTAAACTGATTCACAGGAGAATGTAAATGTCAACAATTGCCCATAAGATATATTATTTTTATGGCATGTAAACTGAGGAATAAAATTCTTTGGAAATTGGAAATAAAATTTAAGATAATATTAGTAAGAATCAGAATCTGCAAAAATAAGTAAAGATAAAAAAGAAGGAAAATATGCAAAATTCCTCATCAAAAGCTGGTAGTAAAAAATTTTACCAGACTATGTTTTTTCCTTATTTACAGAATTTAAATAATTAGCTAGATTTTATTTGCTTTTACTTTCCCCAGTGAGTGGACAAGTTCACATTTAATAAAGTATGTATTAAAAAATGATGTATAGAAGTCTTTATTATCCAAGGAGAATCCTGACCTCACTCCCTGACCTCCTTCTGTCACAGGCACATACATTTGACAGGTCTTGTCATTTATACCCCACCTCTGGGTCTAATGATCTCTTAAGGCTCATGGGTTCATGTGGGCAACATCATAAAGACATATTGCAGGTGCTAATCTTGCTTGATCTCATTCTCACCCAATTATTCAGTAGAATAATTGTTTCCTAAACAATTATTCCCTAACACAGTTTCTCGAGAGAAACTGTTAGGGAATAATTGTTTAGAAAACACGCAGTTCATGCTTTCTGTAACATACTCTAAAATATACTTGTGAATTAAGCAGACTTCTAAGGCTATGTGTGCAGACCATCTCATATGGTATCTACAGAACTAGTTCTGATAAATTAAACTTTGATGTGATGCATTAGCTAGATTGAGGAAGCCATTAGAAAGAACTGTAAAGCTCATCACTGGTTATAAGGAGAGTGCTGATAAGTCTGAATAAACTGTCTAGCTTTACACAACTCTTTAGAAATAGTATTGTGATAGACATTTTAAAATGTAGTAATTAATATTATAGTATGATTAATATAAGTATATCATGTTATAGTTTTAAGTATAATACACATGTAAAATATAATTATATTATCATATAGTAAATTACACTATAACAAATTACACTATAATAAATAGGTATGAATTATACAATAAAACTATAGTATGTAAAATAGATATCTTATGATAAAATGTAATAATTAATACTATTAATTCATAGCTAAACTGATTTATCTAGAGTGATTATTCTTTTTTTATCTTACAGTAATTGAGAATTATGAAAGTATCTCATGTTTCCAATACTAGGACTGCTAGAAAGCTCTGAAGCAGAGAGATTTATAAAAATATAATATGATCCAAATTCACACTGTAGCAACTTTCTACACATTTGAATATTTTTGAAATAATTAAAATGAAAGCAACATGTCATTGTTAAAATAGATCAATGCTTTTAGCCTTATTTCAACCTATGAACAACTGTAGGGACAGTCTTACTTCTGTAGAGTTCTTCGTCAAGGGTGTCCAATGTGTTTAATGTTTCATTATCGTCAGGTAAAATCCGCAAGCATTTGTGCTTCAGGTTGCCCATGAAGAGCTGCAGCCCAATCAGCGCAAACACGCTCAGACAGAACACGGTCAGGATCATGACATCTGAGAGCTTCTTCACAGACTGGATCAGGGCCCCCACGATGGTCTTCAGGCCTGAATGCAGGGGGTAAAAAAAAATAGTATTCATAATGCAATAAAGCCTCTGAATGAGAAACAAACACAAACACAAGCTTCCCTAGAAATGCATGCACTATATCAAATCAATGACCTTAAATAACCTAACTCAAAAAAAGCCCACTAGGTCAAAACAGTGGATTTGCTGTTTTATATACATACATATTATTTCTACATATTATTGCAAATTATTAAAATTGTAAAATATTTCCAAAGAATAACCAAATGTCAAAATGAAAAATTTGGTTATTCAAACCATATCCACACGCACTTGTAAAAAATAATTTCTTTAAAGTGCCATTTCAGTAAATTCTTGTCAAACAAACCATTTCTCTATACACAGAAACAAAGAGGCTGAATTGCAATGTATAGTGACAACTTACTAATTTTTGGTTAAGAAATGGTTTGTTGAGGAAAGATTAAAAAAAAAAGTGTCATGCGATACCTTCATGCTGATATTTTTTTCTCTCTTTTCTTAACTTTATGAAAAGCAATTAAAACAAATTGAAATTTTCATTCCTGAACAAGCCAAATGGAAAATGAACTGTTAGACAGGAGGGAAAATTTCAAGTTGAGATGTGAGCCAAATGGCCATCTTCATCCTCTAAGACCCATGCAATTGATTAAACTCAAAGGCTGACTTTTAAGGGTTCTGAAAAACATAAGAAATTAGATTCATTAAATTTTCATAAGAGAAAGTTTTTCTTGTCTTTTCTCCAAATGATCAAAGTCAGCCCCGGTGTTTAACCCCACTCTCACCTGGAATGACTGAAATTGTTTTCAATGCTCGGAGAACTCTGAATGTTCTCAACGCTGAGACATTGCCCAGGTCCACAAACTCTGTCACATATCTGCAATAGGGGAGTTTATACACAAACACAGTGACAACACACACACAAACAAACAAAGAACAACTCCCAAACAGGTGGAGTCATGAGTGGCCTAATGCTTCACACCAGTCACTTCTTACCTGGGATTACAGAAATAGTTTTCAAAGCTCTCAACACTCTGAAAGTTCGAAGAGCTGAAACATTGCCTAGGTTTACAAATTCTGTTAAATACCTGTAGAATTAAATCAGAGTTATTCAGAATTTAGATAGAGTCTATGATACTTACCTGTGCCTTTAGTCAAGGTATTTCCTATGTTTGGAACTTCTTATTTAAAGGCATAATTCTGCAAACTTTTTCTTTCCTATCATAACCAATTTTATTTAAGTAGATTTTATTGGACTCATTTGATGTGAGCAAAATACAAATATATTATCTAAATGTTTTCATAGACTTAAATGCCTAAATAAACAATGAAATGATTCAATTATTAGGCCTCAACATTATGGTTCTATAGACATTTAATAATCCTATAAAACATCAGTGGTAAATCTTGAAAACTGTATGCTAAGTGAAAGAAGCCAGACACTATAAGATTCCATTCATGGGAAAAGTCTAGAGTAGATAGATCCAAAGAGATGAAACATAGATGAGTGGTTTCCAGGAACTGGGGTGAGGAGGGAATGGAAGTGACTGCTTTTTGGGGTGATGAAAATATTCTGAAATTAGAGAGTGACGATGATTGCACAACTTTGTGAACATACTAAAAAACACTAAGTTTTATATTTAAAAGAACATACTAAGTTTTATACTTTAAAAGAGTAAATTTTATGGTATGTGTATTCTATTTCTATAACAAAGGAGACTCCCCTGAGAAATGCCAGCCCTGTTTGACACAATGTTGTCTTATCAGCAGGTGGTAGGTACAACTGTAGTCCCATGTGATCATGAAAGGAGGAAGCCTGATGGACAAGGTGGGACAGGGGTGAGGGAATCAGAGACTATAACTCTAAAGATGCTTTGGTTTTTGTCTAAGTTCCTCCAATGAATATACACTACTTTTACAATTCAAAATGATAGAGCAAATATTGTATCTAGGTTTGAGATTAAAAAAAAGTTTTTGACAAATATATTTTGGAAGAGAGTAGCAATGTGAATAAATTAAAATTATATGTTAATAAAATAGTTTTCCCTTGAAAATAAACTGTGGATGCATGTATAATATATATACAGTGCATTAATATTAGGTTCAGTACGCAGTGAAAGCCCTTATAAAAAGATATGCTTCTGTATTTTAATATACTTATTAGCGCTTGAATAGTATAGATTAATAAAAAGGGCACCATACTTATAATCAAAGACCTGACTTTTTTTCTGTGATTCTTACAAGTTTTATTAGTTTTTAAATAAGAATTTGAAAAATGTGTGAACCTAACTGGCATCACATAAACTGTCCATCCAAGTGCTGGATGCGGAGGGAGATGCTCAATCTTAATGATGTCACACACTTTTGAGTGAGAAATGATCTTCCTGAAAAAGTTAATATTTGCCTACAAATATCTAGCTTTCATACAGTTTTCTTTAAATGTAACCAATATATGCAGGAAAAGTTAGACCTCAAAGCTTTGTTTTTACTAAAATACTGTGCTGTCTGTGATTTGCATGAATTTGCGATTTAAAAAACTGAATGTAGTACTTACGCAAAAACAATGACGATAAAATCAAGCCAGTTCCATGGGTCACGAAGGAAAGTGAATTCTCCTACACAGAAGCCTCTTGCAAGGATTTTTATAAGTGATTCAAAAGTATATATTCCAGTAAAAGTGTACCTAGACACAAGAATCCATTGGGATACTGAATATGAAAAGAATACAGCACCATATGAATTTTTATAATTTTTCCCCCTGATCAACCAAAGAAAGGCATCCAATACAGTGTGGCTGAAGGTTTATGAATCCACTCTATTAGAATAAACTACATTCAAGGTCTTTCTGTAAAACCTTAAAATGTCCATGTCAGAAACTCTTACAGAAAGTAGAGGTACTGAAAATTACTAAGAACATAGGTTTAGATTTGCCTAGAAAATTCCTACACTGCTCCTATCAGAAATACACCCAGGGAAAGAAATATGTAACATATCTAACAATAGGCAGAGTGTCTCATAAGTTCATTCTTCTGGAAAAGACTGTATCATCTAATTATTCTATTCTAATTATTCTATTCTACTGCTAGCAGGTTAATACCATAGAGGAGAAAAATAATAGTTTAAAGAAAAGCAACTATATAATGGGAAGATAAACACCACAACTGTTATACATGGAATAACTTCTTGGTAGGAAAAGGAAAGATAAAAATGATAATACTAAGACCATATTAAAATGTACATATACCCACTTACTCTACATTCTTGGCCCAGTCTGGAGGGTTACTCATGGTCATAAATATGCAGTTCGTCAGAATAGTGCACATGATAAGCATGCCGAATAAGGTAGCTTAGAATCAAGGAATATGATGGAAGACCATGGCAGGAGCCTTGAATGATTAATAATAACACCTGTTGAAATCTTTTCCTTAGAAAATAATTGTAAATAAATTTATAGACTTTTTAAAATCTCTTCAACATGGGAGTAATAGGTAAAAGTAATTTATCCTAAAATGTTAAAACTGCCATTCTCCCCATCTTCTCAGAGACCTACCCCAAATTACACTGAAATGATAAACTAAGACTAGTCTTTTCAGGTGCGAAAGGACTAAAAATCTATATTTAAATAAAACGGCAAAAACTACATTAAAAAAACCATTGCAAGTAAGCATTTTTAAAAAGGATATGAATGTACTAAAATCTTAATAGATATTCTTCTTAGAGGACTGAAAGGAGAGAGCATGTACAAAGCAGGTGTGGCATTGAAACGGAAGATTGCTTTCCCTTTGTTCAATACTATGAATGTCTGCAGGATCAAAAAGAAAACAGGATGAAATTGAGAATCCAAAATTTCAATCTAGTACATTAATTTCAGCAGTTTACCTGTCCATGTGGTAATGTCATATAAAAGAAACACTACCATCAGACCCAAGCAATGTGGTTCCAGTACCATTGACTCAGCTACATATGTCATGTTGGCCAGTAACTACAGGTTCATTACTTCTCAGCAAGTTAAGAAGTGAACTATTGATGAGCATGTGTTACTTAGAGTCCCCAAAATACAATGTCTTCTCTTTTTGATATCCTTTCAACATCAGTATCAATAACTTGTGGCCAATTGGAATTAGTTTAAAATATAACTTCTTTCATTACATTGCATTGTAAGCAAATCAAATAAAAACTATCTATCCCTGATTTTTACCATAACACCTTAAGACTTTTAATATTTGTGGGCTACTGTTATGGTTTGTAGCAAAGGCTCCAAAATATGAATTCCTTCAAAAAATATTTTCACAAATTTAAGAAATATTAGAGTTCGAAGAATCCTAGTCCCTGGATCAATTTTCCTATTTTAGATGTAATACTAATAAAAGCTAAAATAAAAGGACACAAATTAAAGTACTTGCTTGCTACTATCCATGGTAATTTTTTAAAATGATACAAATAGAACCAAACATTCTTAAAATATGTTTTCTAACCATTATTTAATGAGTGACATTCTCCCTGGATTTGTTATTTAGTTAAAACATTTAAAGCCCAAACAAACAAATAGCAACAATAACAAAACACTAAAACAATCTAATGTTTTTGGATTGAAAATCAGAAAGTCCAAGTTCAAATCCTTGTCTTACTTTTCTGCACTGGCAGGCAAATTACTTGTGTTTCCTAGAACACATTGACTTGGTCTTTTTGTTGTTGTTTCATCTGAATTTTATATAAGTTTATGAGTGGACTTTCTGTAATCAACATTTTTACAAATTGGGGACATAAATCTGAATATTTTGCTTTTTAATTGTATGTGGCACTCTTCTCAAGAAAATGAACCCGAATCTGTTATTTTCAGATGCCCTTTTCTATTCCTGGTCTCTTTCACTATACTAGCTATGTCTAAACATAATCTAACATAAAATTCACTTTTACATTGAAAATTAGTTTTAAAATTAATACCCAGTGTTTGAGTTCAACTATGGTTTTCTTAAATCTCAGTATACTGTGCTTGTTAAAATTCATTCATCCAGTGTTTTCTACAATTGTGTGGTGATCAACTATGGCACAAGGAGCAACGAAAGGAGTTTGAACATAAATGACGCATGAGTTTTGCATTCAAGAAACTTCCTAGAAAAGTGGTAAGACACAATAACTCTAATATAAGACAAGAGGTGACAGGAATCATACAGAGAAATACAAATGGAGGAGTATGAGAGTAAACGGGAACAGGGTGCATGTCTGTCAGAATTACAGGGAGCCTTCGGGAACCAGAAGTCACCTGAGCTAATGTGAAAATCACGACCTCACTACCGAGCCTTGGCAAGATCAAATTACCTTATACTTGAAATTAAAAAAAAAAAAATTAGTTTGCAATTTTTTAATTTAAATTGCCAATTTTCATTAGCATTAAAAACTTTTTTAGGAATGTCTGGGTTTATAACCACCCTGGAGTTAATTATGGGTAGGAAAAGTCGGTAAGCATCAGAAATTTTAGGGATCAGTCTGAGTTTCTTTAGTAAATCCTAAAATCCTATTAGCAAATGCATTAATGTCAAAGTCTGAAAAATTCTTTCAATTTTGCTAATTTATTTAAGAATTTATTGAACATAAAATTAGAGTGCTTAAAAAGCAAAGGCTTTACAGTTGGACAGATATGATTCTCAATGTCATATCTGCCCTTCAGCAGCTTGAGAACTGACAGTGTCTGAAGTTTTTAAGTTTCTGGTACTTTTGGCTGGAGCAGCAGCTGCTATATAGGCAACATATGAGGCACCAAGGATTTGAATATAATAAATCAATGCTCCTATCCTCTTAATCCCCACACTACAGGGTGATTGGTAATTTATTCTTCTTAAAGACACAAACTTTCACTTATCATAAAGGCACCATTTAAAACTATTAAAAAGTACTTATATATTCATCACACTTAAAAATAAAGCCCTAACTTCTATCATTAGTTTAAGTGTTCTTTGTTTTAACAAAGCATTGATAATTACACTCAAATATAAATTAAAATCTGAACCCAGGTCAAATTAGGGTCATTAAGATTTTTAATCCAAGCAATGAGTATAATGTAGTAGAAATTAAGTTTTTATCAGTAAGTGTGAATAATGTGAAATACTGAGGAATCAATTTTTAGAGAAGTCAACCCTAAAGCTGCAAGCAGAAGTCAAAACTATTTTTATCAAGAATGTTTGAGGAACTAGGGCAAGGCACAAAAAAATGATCATTTAAAGCTCAAACTGAAAAGAAATAAGAGGACTCGGTTATCCCTTTGTACATTTTTTTCAGATATTAACAATAGAGGACCATGAAAATAGATTACTTTGACCCAGTTCTACCCAAGTTTACTGATGAAGTGGGTTAGGCTTCTGATGTGGTGCGTGTTACATTACTTGAAAGGAGCTGGGGCGAAGGGGAGGGGCCTATTATACATTTAATGCAAACATTTTCCCCTTACCTCCCAAATCACTTTAAGCTAATATTAGTTTATACCCCTGACTTGAGGATTATTCCAGAAAAATTCCTTTCCTCCTTAAGAGGTAGCAAGTTAAGTAATATCCAGGCCAGCTTTGGGAATGGGAAATACAGAAAGTATCTATGACGAAACAGGAATTTTTCAGGATGAAGTAATAAGTAAAATGAGAAAGTAGTTTTTGACTGTTTCATTACTTATTCATTCATTATTTCATTCATTTTTTTTTTTAAAAAGTTAGCATTGTGGTTGCTACACAACAGAACCTAAACTAAACTAAAAGGTATTGCACAATAGAACATCTCAGTAGGGAGGCAAACCAACTTGAATTTTAAAAATCTAATAAAAAATTTACTAGTGTGTAACAATTTTGCAAGTTACTTAATTTCCCAAACCCCTATGTCCCATCTAAAAATAGGATATGACTACCTATCTCACCAGGTTGTGATAAATAAATGTGCTCATTTGTCTAAAGCTCAGAGACCCTCAATACATATTAACATTCTTCCTTTCCATGCCAGAGTACTGACGGCATAATTAGAATGCTATGCAATATTTCGAGGGCTTCTCAAGTATTCTGCTTTCTATCACTGTGCCGTCACCTTGAGATGCTGGTTTTGATGTGAAGTAAAATACTAGATCTCGCTAGACACAGCAACTACCACCAAGACATACGTGTTTCTACCATCAAAATGAAATTCATCACATTTTATGTTTCTGAAGACATTTCAAATGTTCTTTATTTTATTTGCTAGATACCTTATCAAGAAATATTCCCTGTCATTTATTTCTTAAATAAATCCAAATGATTTTTAAACAGACTTTATCATGCTTTTCCTGACCTTTCAAAGATGAGTCTGCAGGCTCTGGTGCTGTGTGCAAAGCATTGCTGGAGAAAGTCATGAAACTGCTGATCTAATCCTTTAATGTCTCACTTTGTCATCTTTAACTTGGTTTTGTGAAGCCACTGTGCCAAAAATGATTGTAATCCCCTTCCCATTTTCTAAATAGAATAACCTTTTAGTAGTTGCTTCAAACTTTTTCCCATTTTCTGGATGCAATCAACACCTTCACTCTGCTGCTCTCAACAATGACTCTCAAAAGGGCATTTTCCACTCCTGTCCTACGGAAAATATTAACATGCATTTCCTCTGATGTGCCTACATTTACTCCAACCTATCAGACTCTTAAATCCATCCTCTTAATTGCCACTCAAGCCTCAGACAATAAGGCTTCTCTCCACTTTTCTAATGCAAATACAGTCTGACCTGTTGCTTGTCCCTTAAATTAGCAACTACCTATATTACTCTAATCCTCTGTATTTTTCCCCCTGGCTGAGAATAATTTTTCTTTACTTTCAAATGTGCTATTTTATGCTCTATGTGTAAAAGGTTTTCAATTGATTTGGTACCTCAAGTGACCATCTTTCTGGTGGAAAATTTCTCAACATGCACATGTCACCACCTACTTCCTCTTTTTATTTGCTATCCAACAACATCTCGCTTTGATTTCCATCATCTAACACAAACAGCTTCCAAAAAGTTACCAACTCATCCTCCTTGTTCATGCCAATAGCCTTTCTCTATCCTCAACTTTCTGAGTAATTTTAAGAGATGCTCTTTTCCCTTCTTCTTGGAACAATGGAAAATTTTCTGATTTATGCCCTACCTCCCTAACCATCTCCGACTCTTCTTTCTCTTCAACACCGTAAATGAAGATCCTCTCCAAACTTCACTGTTAGTTGAGCGATATTATATATTCTCATGGAGTCAGCTGTCACCTCCATAAAATACACTCTGGACACATCCTCAGGACTTACTTGTCAATTGACAATTCTTTTGTTCCTACCGTATGCATTTAGGGCATGTCCAAACAGGCACAACATTATACTGAACACTTTTAAAAGATTAAGGAAATCAAAATAGTATGACAGAAAACAGTTTCGATAAAAAATTAGAGAAAGTACCTATTCTGAATCCTATATACGTATTTACTTGAATATTTTGGTCATGATGTAGTTTTCCCCCTAAATTCCACTTCAATTTAAAATAACTTTCCGTACAGAAAGAAGCAGAGACCGCACCACTGCAGTCCCAGGAAACTCACCTTTTTGTCTGCGTAGTAGGGGTCCAGGTCCTCCAGGGGCGCAGACACCATGCCTGGAGGGATGTCCCCATAGATGAAGGGCAGCTGTTTGCCAGCTTCCAAGTCACTGCTTGGCTTTGGGCCTTCTTCATGATCATCTTTCTTTTCTTCTTTGGGTGCCTTTGTTTTACCTTCAGCAATGCGTTGTTCAATGAGGGCAAGAGACTGTTTTGTGAAGTAGACAAAGCTCTGAGGTCCTGGGGGAGGCAACATTGCCATCTTTTCATCCTGTATATTTTATTTCCCCTTCAGCTCCTTCCTAAGAGGCCTAAGTGGAAACAGAAAAATAAAGCCTTAAGTGTTTGCCAGCCAAGGATGGCACATCAACCTAATACTAACAGCAATCAATATTATTATTAATGGGCAGCTTTTTGGTTTCAACTACAAAAAGTAATACAGAATTATTAGCATGTTGAGTGAGCATTTATTAAGTGACTACCATGTACAACACTTGATTTCCATGCTTTCTAAGCATCTTTATTTAAAAATTTGAACTTAATACTTCATTGCTTTTAAAGTAAAAAAGTGATAACTTAATGAAAAACATTTTAGTTTCCTTTAGTTTTCATCTGTATTCACTTTTAGTGCAATTCGACTGAACTTTCCTCATTTAAGACTTTATGACTGCTCTGCCAGCACCATTCTCCGGGCTCTCCTCTCACCTCTCTGATCTTCTCTCAACATGCTCACAGGCTCTGCCTCTCTCTCGGGGAAACTCATTTCTGGGAAATGAGGTGGTGGGAGATTGTTTACTCTATTTTACATATTCATTTTTTTACAATAAATACATATCCCTTCACAAATCAAAAAGAGATATATTTCTGTTTCGAATGAAATGTTCTGCTTTAAAATTTATACATCTGATTTGGTTTTTCTGAAAAAATGGTCTTTTTATGGTTTATCACACAATTGAGCCTGCCTCTTGCCCTGTTATATATCAACACATTTCTTTTTAAATCTGCTAACCCATCTTCATTTTAAATGTTTTTACCAAATACTTAGTCTGGGCATATTACCACATGAGATATTTAGAACTATGAGAGTAATGAAAAAACACAGTTTTGTCTTGAAGGAACTTAAATTCTAAAAAGGGACACCAATCATACCAAATCATACAGCAAGGACAAGCCTGGTTTCACTGTAGTAAAGAAGAATACTATTAGTCTAAATAACTGGTGTAGAAACAGAGAAAGAGATATAGACGTGTGACTTAAGCACAAAGTTTTATACATTTCTGACATAAATTCCTGGGTTCTTTTATCAGTCTCTCCAATGGTGGAGAGCTAAATGCCGCTCATAAGTAGTTAGATATATAGCGACATTTCATGGGAGAGAATATGCTGAAAGCCATGCGATGACACATTTGAAAATAAGAGCATATACCTCGTTGTAGATTTAGAATTGTGGACTTTTATAATTATGACCAAAGAAGAACAGCTCAGTCTACCTGCTGGCCCCAAGCAATTGATATTATTGCTTGTGAACAAAATCTCAATATTTAATTGACTATGTGTTTGTTGGTTTGTCCTTGGTTTTAAAGTATTTTACTAAGATTATTTACTCCATTATTTCTATAAACTCAATACTATTAAGAACAGACATATATATTTTGATTGAAACTAAAGTGTAGAAGATTTTTTAAATAATGTAGTAAAAAACAAGGGACATTTGCATGTGTACATGCAAAGGCAGAATGATTCAGAAAGATAAGAATGAATGGTGACTCAGCAGCTCCACTACTAGGTATGTATCCAAGAGAACTGGAAACATATGGCCTCACAAAAACTTGTACCTGAATGTTCACAAAAGTATTATTGATCGTAGCCAAGAGAGTGGAAACAACCCAACTGTCCATCAACTGATAAATTCATAAACAAAATGTGGAGTATCTACACAATGGAATATTATTTGATAGTAAAAAAAAAAAAAAAAAAAAGAAAGTATGGATACACGTCACAGCATGAATGAACCCTGAAAACTCTGAGAGCGAAGCCAGGCCCAAAAGGCTGCATACAGTACGATTCCCTTCGAAATGCTCAGAATAGGCATATTCTCAGAGACAAAAAGGAAATTATTTCAGGAGGCTGGGTGGTAGAGGTGATCAGGAATAACTGTTAATGGTTATGAGATTATTGGTTAATGAGAACAAGGTTTCTTTTGGGGGTGATAAAAATGTTCTACAATTAGATCATGGCAGTGGTTGCACAGCTCTGGAAGTACACTAAACACCACTGAATGTACACTTTAAAGGGTGATTTCTATGGTATGGAAGCTACACCTCAATAAAACTTAAAAGGTGCTAAAAACGAAATCATGAAATACATAAAAATTGTCCTGAGAAGAGGAAATAAGTTTATTAAAATGGAAACAAATGTACATACTCAGCACCAACCACCTTGAGTCTCTACAGGCTCAATACAAATATGGAATTGCTTTTGGTTTGATATTAATTCAAGAGATGCTAAAGTTTAGTTCTAGCGCTTAAAGGCTAAGCTTGGTACAGTTTATAAAACTTTGGTCACAAACCAGGTGACTTGATTCCAGAAGTTAGTAGCCTTTTAGAAACTGAACATCAACCTGAGAAATAAGGCAGTGAGTGCAGCTGCCACTTGGGCTTAGAAGATTCCTCAACACTTTGGAAATCATAAAGGCGAGGGGGAGAGATTACTTCCCTTGACAGATTTTCAGTGTACACATACTTAAGCTCCTGGAGAAAGGGTGGCTAAAGAATTGGTATTCTTGTACAGTACATCCTACTTTGAAGTGGAGGCTGTCACTTCTTTCAAAAATTATTTGATAGAAATTCAGGTAAGTAGATGTCATGAACTCAAATGTCCAAATACCAGTTCCACTATTCGATATTCCTATTATCTTCCCCCCTGCCCCCTTCCCCTCACTCTCTCTTTGTTTTTGCACACTAAAATAGGTACAAACAGTGAGAGTGGGGGTGATGGATGTCAGTGGTACCACATACGGGAGATATTTTTATGATCAGGCTAAACTAAAGAAGACCTGCTTAACATTAGGGTCTTTGCAAAGTAAGTTGAAGAGACCCTGATCAGATTCCATCACCATCCTCTAGTTTGGAGGGTATAGGAAAATCTGGATGATGGGAAAAAATACAAACTTTTTCAGCATAATTTTGCAATATCTATCAAAAGCCTAAATATGTTCATTCATTTATACTCCCAAATAACTTCCCTTCTAGGAATTTATTCAAAAGCAATAATATCAGATGCCCTCTAACATTTATGAGATATTTATTCAATGTTTTTATAATATTGAAAAATTGTAATCTATCCAAAAGTCTAACAGTCAGGGTTTCATTAAATAAAAAATGAGCATAATGTGAAAAACTGAGCAACTGAGTAGCCTTTAAAGAGTGCTTTCAAAGACAATTTAATGAGTTCTAAAAAAAGAGTTATAATGGGTAATTAATGGAATGCAGGTTACATGCTCACAAACATACATGTATATTCATCTCAGTTTTAAAAATGTGTATAAAATAAACATGAAATTAAATGTACAATGTGTTTAATGAAACTTATCTGAGGAATTGTGGAGTATTTTTATTAATTTTTAATATTTTTCTTTATTTTTCAAATTTTTACAGGAAAAATGCCATGCTTTTAAAATTCAACAAATGTATTTGAGAAGTGAAGCACAAGCTTATTTGACCTAAATTTAATAAAATCAATATTTATTATTTTCATGTTTAATTTGCATTTTTGAAAAACATATTATATTTTCACTTATTAATATTATTATGATGGCATTTTCTTTGGAGTGAGATCACGATACTGCACACACACAAAAAATACTTTCTTGTTCTCATAATTATTTCACTCACCTAATTTCATATTAGGAGATAGTATAGTGTCTAATACTGTAACTCCAAACTACAGCTCCCGATTAACTTATTAATGTCAGGGTGCCAACTCTATTGTGGCTCAGGTAGGATATGTGTGTATTATGTCCATATAATTTTATAATATGAATAATGCTTTTGTAATGATTATCAGCATACTTTAAATTACAATATGAAATCTATTTTTTTAAAAAATGGAATTATTCTCTTAAATATATTTTTCATAGAATTCCTTTAGCAAGAAGTTTTCATCTGACAATTTTCAACATTTCTTGCAAAAAGCAACAAATATTTGAATTTCTTGTTTCTTTAATTGTGATTAGTAGGATTAATATATAATATTTCATTCTTTTAAGAACCAGGAGAGTAATTACATGTTCGTAACTCTATAATAATCTCAAGCTCTGTTTTATATTTCATCATTGAATCTCTTACCTGTAGCTAACTTAAATTCTATTTATACAAAATTAAAATTAGTCCAATAAACCATTTTGAATGTCTGCCAAAATCTGAATCAAATTAGGTCAGACCTAAATTACTTAAGACAGTGGACAAATGTAAAAATAAGTAAAAAAGAATGTTTTATTGGTGCTTACTGTCAGCAAATGAAAAACTGCTTTGAAAATGTCACTTCTCTGGAAACAGTGATATTTTCCCCAGGGTAAAATTTTGGCTGGAACATCATTCATTTTTAAAGCATTCTCAAGACACAATGGAATCAATACGTGAGCATTAAAAAAAAAAACATTTTAAAATAATTTATACTTAGCATCAACAATGATAACTCATGTTGATAATATATCCCCTCAACATGTTATGATGAGAATGGCACTTGTACATATATAGTCTTCCTCCCCAAAACTCATAACTTAGATCTAATCATGAGAAAAACATCAGAAAAATACCAAGTCAGGGATGTTCTACAAAATACCTGACCAGTAACCCTTGAAATGGTTAAGATCATCAAAAACAAGAAAAGTCCGAGAAACTGTCACAACCTAGAGATGCCTAAGGAGGCAGGATGGTGAGATACAATATGGTATTTTGGATGGGATCTAGAAAAAGAAAAAGAATAGTAGGGAAAGACTAAGGAAATGTGACTAAAGACACTAGTTAATAACAATATTGTATCAGTATGATTTCATTAATTGGGGTAAATGTACCATACTAATGTAAATTGTTAGTAATAGGAGAATCTGAGTATAGGAACTCTGTCTTATCTGCATAATTTTCCATAAATCTAAAACTATTCCACGATGAAAAAGATTATTTAAAAAAAGAAATCACAGATGTAGAATTACACTAATGTTATATAAAGTTAATAATGTCTCAGTAAACTTGACTTTATCAAGTAAATACACCGCCATCATCTATAATGTACCTAAGGGATAACGGACCTA